GTATATGAGACGCACTCTCGAATTGCCTTGGAAAAGGGAGACCATGAAGAGTTTAATCAGTGTCAGAGTCAACTGAAACAACTGTATTGCGAGGTGGGCGGAGAAAACACTCTTGAATTCATTGCTTACAGACTCCTTTACTACATCTTTACCAAGAACACATTAGGTAAGTTGATTATTCTTATAGGAGTATTGAGCTACACATTATCAGTTATAGTTAAGACACTTCATATCTGTGGTATATGTCTGTATACTTTAGTCCTGTGGTTTTTGAGAATCCTGCCTATTCTCATTTAAGTGATTTGAATAGGGAGAACATTTATGGGAATAATTTTTTTCAGACATAACTTCTCTACTGGCTGGTCTGACAGCAGAGCAGAAACAGAATGAGTGCATTAGCTTCTCTCTTAAGTTACGTGCAGCATGGTCATTGGGCAACTATCATCGCTTCTTTCAGCTGTACCGCAATGCTCCCAAGATGGCTGGATATCTTGTTGATTGGTTTGCAGACAGAGAGCGAAAGCAGGCACTAAGGGCAATGCTAAAAGGGTTTGTATATATGTTTGTATATTTTCATTCAGTATTTAGATCATTGTTGTTAACATAGCTCTTGATTGCTTTATTAATATTCAAATAATTTTTCTTCAGTGATGCTGTGAAGTAATACAAAGATTCTCATATTATTACAGCATTCTCTTATTATTACAGCCTTTGTATAGTGTATCCTATTAATGTGCTAGTAAATATAGATTTTAGCTATGAGAATCATATATGAGCTGGAGATTTTTAGGTATCACTCTTCTACAGGATATTTTTATGCAGTTCACTGCCTTTTTTTCATCTTTCTCTTTTTCTCCAAACTTTGTTTCCATGCAATAATTTGAAAATTTCTCATTATATTGACTTGAAATTTTCACAGATTGTGTGTATTTGTTTAATAAGGCTTAGGAATTTCAATTGGAAAATGTCACTCCTGATTTGATAATTTAAAAAAAAACTGAACATTTTAAATCTTCTAGAGCAATAACAGATTGGTGGAGAAAAGGCTCCAGTATTCTTGCAAGTCTTCTGTGCCCAGACACCCCTGTCCATTTTCCCACCATCAGTCAAACAGGGACCAGGTGTGCCAACAGATGATAAGGAAAAGCAAGCTGCATTGCAAACAAGCTGGAAGATGTAGAAAATAATGGAAGCAATGCCACACATAATATCCATAGTGGAGATGACTCGTAGGAATGTTTATGAATGTATTATTCCATGAGGGATATCATATGAAAAGATGGGCAAGTCCTTCAGCAGAGATTTCAAGAATACATTGGTGGAAGTAGGAGTATTTTATAATCCATCACTGAACACTTAAGAACACCAGGCTAGGAGAGCAAGGAGTGAAACAGTGCCATAATAGAAATTCTGGTGGAATCAATGCAAAGACTGAATACCACCTAAGGCTAAACTAGTGCTAAATACCTAAGACCAAAATAATTATTGTGGGAAATATTTATCAAAAGAAAATTGTACTGGGAGAATTGGGAATCATATGGTAGATCAGAAGCTTAGAGAAGAATTGCAGGCAGTAATTATGAGAAATTTCTTAAAGCAACATGTTAAGACATCACAAAAATAGAGATGAGGATGAACCATCAAGACTGGATCTGATCATCAATCTTAAAGAAGTAGGATTAAAGGAAATTAAATATGGGAGCCACTAGAAGACACTGACCACATGGTTCTATATTTCAAATGCCAGGCAGAGGGGTGGGGATGAAGGGAAATAAGATCAGAGGTTTGCAAGAAAAAACAAGTATTATAGAAGAGGGCTGAGAGGGTTTTTGAATGAAATTCAGTGAGAGAGAAATAGAGGATAAGTACATCAATGATAGAAAAAATTAAATTAAGACACATGCAACATCTAGATATCTTTATTGGGACGTTTCGCCATCCAGTGGCTTTATCAATACAAATTCCAGGACATAATTTGAAGACAGTATAACTGTATACAGAAGATGAGGTAATCAGTTCCTCATCTTATGTATATAGTTCTACTGTCTTCAAATGATGTCCTGGAATTTGTATTGATAAAGCCACTGGATGGCAAAATGTCTACAATAAAGATACCCAGATGTTGCACGCATGTCTTAATTTTATCTGTCAGTATTGTTTACCATTCTTGTACGATAGAAAACATACTCTGGAATTACAAGGAAGTCATTGATGGATCCTTGTTAGCAAGGAGGAAAGAGAATACAAAACACTCAATGCTTCTGATTTACAAAAGTTTGATGAGACAAAGGTTAAGAGGAATAAAAACATGGAAAACGTATGGCTTTACTCCATATGTTTACTGAGAATGAGGAACTTAGTGCTAAGCAGAAGAGCTAAGATTATTTGCAAGAATAAGAAAGGAAGCATTAAGATGATTAGAAAATAACAGTACCAAAGGCTTCAAGAGAAATCGGGCTGATTCACAGCCACATAATTCAGACAATGATAGTAGGGGATCAGGTAATTAGACTGAGGAATTAGGGATGAACTAACGACAGTTGGCTAAAGGCATATGCAGAATTGAACACAAGATTCAGAGAGATCTTCATTAAGGAATTGGTGGAGATGTCAAGAGAAAGATAAGAAAGTGATGACCAAAAAACTAGAGGAAATTAAAAGGACAATAGTAGTAGTGAAAGTGCTAAGGCTTATGAAGTAAAATGAAAACAGTGGGACAAGACAAAATATTACTTTGCTTTCTGTAAGGAACAGAGGAACTATGCAACTCCATAGCAAGAATTTGCAGTTCAGAGATATCAAATCTTGTCTTGGGAATCAGAGATTAAGAGTTTTGTCTTGGTGCTAGTTTGTGGTAATTGTACTTACTTTTGTAGGTGGAGGGATTGCTCAAACTTGTGTGTGAATAGTAAAAGGGCATGTGAGTATAGAAACTAATACACAGGTGCAGAATAATCATTTGATCATAGTTCTTTTAAATTTCTTTCCTTCCCTTCAAATCATTGACACAGCCAACTTATTCTCATACTCCTCCCATATCTTTAAAGCTGCTCCCATATGCCTTATAATGAACCCTATATTACATCCTTATGTCTCATTCCCACATGCTTATATTTCTCACTTCTACATTCTAAACAACTCTTGCATCCCATTAACCTTCACACCCCATCCTCCCTCACCCCCCATCCTCCCTCACCCCCCATCCTCCCTCATCCCAGTCCTTTCATGTTGTTCCACATATCTGAAAGTCATTTCTACACTTCTTAAATTTGCTCCTTTGAACACTTTTTTCCTGTTGCAGCTGGAAAGCAAGAAGAGTGAGAGGCTGGGAATCAGTTTTCAAGACTAAATTCTGTTATTTCTCGTAAGAGATTTTGCAGGATAGGAAGCATTGGTTATTGGGAGCTGGGAATACCTTACTCGATCACAGTGGCAACCCTAATATATCCATTTCTTTACTTACCTTTTTTTGCCTTCCTCAGCTGGCTAAAGCATATCAACATAAACATTATATTGTGTTAAAAATAGCTTTGAAGTAGTGATCTTTTGTATTAGAGAAAGTTCTGTAAGGAATCGTCCTGTAAATTCTTCGATGATGATGGATTCTTCACCACCTACATTGTAAAGATCGTTGTTTATCAAAGTCTGGAGGATTCTGCTGGTCCCACCCTGCTTCAGATGCAGGATATAATGAGAATGTAAAATAGCCTAAATAATAAATTCTGTATATTATGACAAATGTTACATTTACAACAAATTTTATTGTAAATCAACTTAAAAATTTAATTTATTATTTAAGTTGTTTACTTTAGGAAACATTTTTTTTAGTTATGCTTGACTAATACTGTATATAGTTCATTAATTCAGCATACAGAATTTTCATCTAGATAGATTACTCTACAGTGTCTTTTAATATAATTTTTGAATTTTTCAAATTGGTGCTTAATTTGTTAAAGTGCACACAGTATTAATGTAGTTGTTTTTAAATAATATTACCCTGCCTGGGCGGGAGATTGTCCTTGAGGTGAACATAGGTGAGGGTGTTTATATGTAAATTTAGATAAAGACAGTGCACAAACTACATAAATAGGGCTTTATAATACTGTAGTTACTTACTAATTTTTTTTTTTCCAGAATATTTTACCATTAATGTTGGTTATCTCAAAAGTGAGTATTTTAGCAGCTATCATTTCAGAAACTTGTGAGTGCAGAGTACAAACTTCTCTGCTAAATGTCTGCATAAACTTCAAGAAAGTGATGGTACAGCTTCTTAATTCCCTCCTCTTGTTTCCTTGTAGCTATCGGCCGGGTAGTCTAGATGTCAGTTTTATTAAGTCGGAGTTGGCTCTCGGAACTCAAGAGGAATGGCAGAAATTTGAAAGTGGAGTAAGCTTAGTGTATACTGATGTGTCAAAAACAAAAATAGACTGCAAAAAGTCTACTGCAGATGTTATTGCGACATAACATGTTGTGCCAGGAGGAAGTTGGCACTAATATCTTGCAGTATGAACTTAATGGAAATGCTGAAGAGCTGGTGTTATACTGAGGAATGTCTTTCAACAGTTGAGTATTGAGGGTAGGTGGTTTGTGCGTGTGTGTGTGAGAGATGGCTGTTTATGATGTTTTACTGACAAGATTGAGTCCTAGACTTTCTCATAAAATACTCGTTAAAGTCTTTCCACGAACCTTAAACATTTGGAGTGAACATACGCACAGTGATGCAAGTTTTTATGCATCAGTTTTTCTTATGAAATAAGAGAAAATTATGGACCTCATACCAATGAACATATAGCATACAGAAAACAGAGTACAAAATATAATTGCATTAATTTGAAAAAAGAGTGACCTGCAAAGTGATAGTGCACAAACATTTAAATAAAGGACAGAAAAACATGGATACATCTGGAGAACTCGGAAGTTAAGGCGTGATATAAAAGCTCGACGAACATACATTATCCTGTCACTTGGTCTGTACTGGAAAGTGCCCTATACATTATAAT